ATCACTTCAGCTACCTCGGTGTCATCCTCGATTCAACTTTATCCTTCGACCGTCAAACCAACCATATCATCAGTTCATGTAACTTTCACCTGAAGGCTCTCAGACACCTACGTCCTCTCATCTCCACTGAAATTGCCAACACATTGGCATGTTGCATCGTTGGGTCTCGCCTCGACTGTTGCAACTCCGTTCTAGTCTGGACCTCCACTGGCAACCTAAAAAAACTGCAAAGACTACAAAACGACCTGGCACGCGTCGTCATTGGCCACACTCATCCCCGTCTCGACTCACTCGCCTGTCTCCGTGCTCTCAACTGGCTACCCATCGCCAGTAGGGTCATATACAAGATCGCCTGCCTCTGCCACCATGCCTTCACAGCTGCCTGCCCGCCGTACCTTTCTTCATTATTGACGACTTGCAGCTCAGCACACGGCAGATGCCTGCGCAGCGCGACTCACGACCTCCTCTTGATACCAAGATCCAGATGGTCACGTCTATGCGCCGCTTCTCGGTGGCAGCCCCAACAGTCTGGAACGATATCCCTCTGCACATTCGCAGCATCGCCTCAATCGCCTCCTTCAAGAGACACTTAAAAACTTACCTCTATAACCACGCTTTGAATGACTCTGAGCTTGGCTTCCGCGCCTCTGAATTGCGGCCGTTACGTCCGCAAATTTGATCGCGTTATAAATTGCATTATTATTACTGTCAACTTACTGTGCTTTAGCCACCTGGCACTCCGCTCAGTTGTTGTGAGCATCGCTCCTCTGTCCTCCATTGTTGCTGGAGGGTAAATGCCTCTAACTGCCTAGTAGCATCCTTCACAAGCCTCTGATTCACACACACGCACGTGGTCGGGTGTGTTGCAATATTTGCTTTAAGACGCGCGTGCGCGCACACACACACAAAAACACCCCGTCGGCAAAGATCTCCACCCTAACAATGGCTTGTGCCGCAGTCTTTGCAATGACGTAATTGAGACACGTAAAGAAAATGCGTAATTTGCCTAATTTGCTCATTTGAAATACAATAGAGAGAGTTTATAATGAGCCACTGCTCAAGTGCTGTTTGAAAGGGGTGCAAAGCAGACAAGTAGGCGGGGAATTTGGGCCGGCCTAAAAAACCGCGTGCCCTACTTACACTGCTCACAGCAATCTTGAACCCAATGATGGTCTATTTTAATTGGCACATAATGAGTAGACATCCTTCCAAGATAATGCCCTCATGGGAATTCACTGGGGGGGGGGAGGGGGTTTGATTTGACCGTGGGGGGCAGGCTAATCTGGCCACTCCACCTGCACCAATGGCCAACGCAAGTTCGCCAAAACCCGTTGTGTGGTCTTGAACGAGACGACAGAATGAAACTGATAGATGTTAACATCCTCTCCAAGGGAAGAGGGTTTTTTTTTTCGTCGCATAAAAATAAACAAGTACTTGGTTAAATAATGTAGTTGTGTGCACATTGTACGGTTTTAACACAAATGATATGCATAATGCTCTCAACGGGACTGACCTTATTAAATTGCTCACAAACTTGGTCTCCAAGGGAGAGACATGCTGGAGAGATGAGAGGGGAGTGGTGTTTAAAGATGACGTTCATTGGAAATTATGTCCGAATTGATACTTTCCACATGACCAGCCATAGCAATATGAAGGCATTGCAAGCCTTGCTAAATATTTTAATCCACGTAGGGTAGTATGCGCTAGTTATGTAACACAAAGTCATTACGTGCCTTAAATAAAGAAATTCACAACTTGAACATATGGCATATTGCTTAACGTTGCGAAAACATTTCAGGAATAATTTTCGTGCACAAAAATTAAACGTGCCACCACAAAAATTGTAAAAAAAATGAACGTTTCAGTATTGTAAACGACGATCAAAGGACTCTGTACGAAGTATTGTTTGCGTGGAAACAAATGAACGTTACTTTCCTTTTAACTCATCCCTCTACACAGTTTCACTTTCGGCAACTACCGCAGAAGCAAAAACGATTGATGTATGTGCCTTACATCTTATGTAATGTGTGCTCCAGTTGCAAAAAAAAAAACCCTAGGGAAAAAACCAAGTTGAAATAATTTACCCACAATACATCCAGATTCTGTGTCTACGAGTATAAATATACAGGGAACAGCAGCAGGAGAAGCTAGGCAAGCTTAGAGCAAAAATTATACTTGCGACATTTTAAAACACACACGTTCAAAAAATTATCTGCAGCACGGCATTTTAAAAAATGAACCTTATTAAATAATACCCGTTACAATAACCCTTCTTATTAACCCCTGAGCCCAATAACCTATAGGCATTTAAATACGAATATTCCTATTGAAAAAGATCAGTACTTTCCAAAGATATATATATACATGCTACAGCCATTTAAGCTTTTCCAGGACACAATACAAGAATGCATGCCAATACTACGGCCATTTTATGAATTTCATATTTGTCTTAAAGCGTTGCTGATTTAGATAAACAATGCCATGCTTCATTTTCTACTTGCAAAATTAAATATTCACAAGTTTGCAAAGTGTCCAATTGTGGAAGAATTGATATTGCCAAGGAAAGTTCGGATCCAACCGGTACATTCAAACACACACGCAAGATATAATACAGGTGACAGCAGGGCAACTAATACAATTTAAACATCGTAAATTGTTATATTATGAATGAACTGAATGTAACAAAAACTTTTGTTTATACATGTGTAAATCATATATAGGATGCTGGATTATTTCTTTGTTGGTATATCCAGAGTTTTTTTTCACATGTTTACTTCTACTCTCTGTATTAATAAACCATGACTGGGAGAGTTACATTTTTGGTCTATTAAAATGGTAAAACAACTTTCTCAAAACAGAAAAGACTCGAAGCCCGAACTGATAAGCTTTCCTCCAGGGGGTTACTTTACGTTACAATGTATCCGCGTGGAATTTTTTTTGCATTTTTATTTTATAAAATAATTAGGATTTTCTTTTTCGTAACAAAAATATTTGCACAAATACCAACACACCACACTTTACAATGCGTTCCGTTAGCTATTGTGTACATCAGAAGATAAACGCGTTTAAAAGTTTATCAGTATTCGGCCAACTGGTTTGGAATTATAATTTGGCCATTCCCTTCAAAAAGATGTCAACTTCTCAACAGCACATACATTTGATTTAGTTACGTTTTTTTGTTCAATGTTTGTATATTTAACTTATTTTGTACCGTACGTAGCCAACCGTGCTAATCGGAGGTGCAGGGGAAGGACAACGAACTTAAACCACAACACCAGTGCTAAAAGAAATGTATAAAAGGGTTGCTTTTTTTGTTAACTCTGTTGATCATCGGAGGGTGAAACACGCGCGTCCTTGTCCGTTCTCGATCATCGGAGCTCATATTCTTGAGTGACCATGCATCAGTCAATAGTTGACAAGCCGCCCGACTGTACCGAATTCCCAGGCCAGCGACTGATCACTACAGACACATTTTTCGATAAACTGCAAAAGACACGCGCGCGCACGCAACAGACGTGGGCACAACGGCGGAGCATCGGACATTTAATCTGGACCTGCAAATCGCGATTGGAAACGTCGTGTAACTGGACGATCGCTTTACGTCGGCGGATTCGGAATCCCTGCGTCCAGCGCCCGGGGGTTATAGTGGCTGTTTGGCTTTCCTTGAATAACCCACGTCACCGTCATAACAACAAACAAAAAAAAGGCCTTAGAACTCAAAAGAGAAAACCAAACTGTTATCGAAAATACACGTGTTCAGTTTAACGCCAGAAACAGGAACCAACTGATAAAACTGCGCACTGTTAACTGAATATTAAAACCTGTCCAAACATGTTCTCTTTAAACGTATTTTAATTTCCTGTATATTTACGCAAGGCATTGGCGGACTTCGTAAAATGTTAGTGGTCAAGCGAGGACCTCTCGTGCCTCGAGGTTTAGTTTCCACGCAGCTCGTTATATTGGAAACATTCAGTTTTATACCTCCCCCCCCCCCCTTTGGCTGGGAGATGGCGATTTCCAACCCAACAAATTTCATCGCTGAGAAAATAAAAGACCCGAATGGAAACCGCCGGTCTGTGCACCTGCTGCTACCGCTGCTGCGGCGCGTTCGAATTGTAACAGGCAGGCAAACCGCGCGCCTCCAACTCGGCAGCCTCCTCTCACGGAAATACATTCGTCGCATCGTTTTCGAGCGAAACGTCAACGCATTAATAGACAACGCCGTCACGTCCTCACTATATTTTCCATCCCAAATACAATAAAGGGTCCCCCCGCCTTTTAAGTCTCTTAAATAAAAAAAAACACGCGCGTTAACGTGCGTTCAAACAGGTTACCCTCTTTTAACTCGTGTTTCCTTTGAAAGGGGCAAGGTTGCCTGACATGCTACAAACCAGCTTCAATGGAGACCACCCCTTTGTTCCTGCAGTCCCACGCTAAGTCTCGGCGTGACCGCTGCTGCTTGCCGTGCCGAAAGACAGCAGCATCCCCACCCCTCGCGTGCACGGACACCGCCCACAAATCTATCGCTCGTAATTCAACTACATTGAAGCCGAAGGAAATTTAGATGTAATAAGACACTTAAGATCATTAGAGTATCCGAGTTTACAATTAATTTTTTTTACTTTTACACGCGTAAGAAAATTCCTTTTTTTTACAAGGCCCTGCACAGTGTTTTGTAATACACATCTCTCTGGGCTTTTATCAACAAAACGCAACAAGGCAGAATAAAGTGCCGATGCTCTGCCCGTACGCCAACCCGCACGCTGCTTCACGAACATTGCACCACGGCTCACGATGGACAGCTAAGGTGAAGACGGTGTTTCCTCCTTCGATCTCAGATTTGCCATTCTGCACGGTTCCCAAGAGCCTAACCAGTGACAGGGCAACCAACTCACAAGTTAGGGTCTCAGGGATCGCGCAAAAGGCTCGATCGCTCCATGCCTGCGTCATCGACACTGGGTTTCGCCCTCCACGTCTCGTGTGTCCTTTGCGTTCGGTACCGGGATATTTGATGAAAGGTCCCGCCGAGCTGAGAGGGCGCCGGTGATGATGGCCGTGTCACAGCCGGTCACCCCCGAGGAAGGGAGGAAAGGAAGGCTGAGGTGGCATAAAAAGGCACTGCTCCCATGCCATGTGCCACCCGACCCACCGTGCGCCTTCGCTGGGACGTATTTCGCATTCTCCGTGTAAGCCCTGCACAAACCACATCAATCAATGAGGAACTAGGCCCCTTTAATGGACAGAAAAAGATATCGGCATTAAGAGAGAGATATTAAAGGGAATAAATGAAATAATATGAATTACTTCCAGGATCTAAAACGTGCTCGGCATTTTGTTGAATAGCCGCAGTAACGCAGACAGATTCGTAATTTATTTCTCGACAGCATTTTTAAATCAGGCGTACTGTGATCAAACAGGGGTGGGGGGGATTAGGCGGTGCCAATACGTTCACAGAGTCCAAATAAAGGTCATGAACAACAAAGGTACCTGTATGAGTACTTTTCATTGCGTCTGTCCAATTTTAACATGTTACAAAAAATATTTAGCTTATTTCCACACATCACGGGCATCACGCGCACAATTTAGCTCTTTAAAGACAGCTCGTATACAATCAATGCCACCTTGGTAAGTAGTTCAATATTTGTTATTCAACGGTCAACTTGGTCTTCACGTACGTTGTACATATTTGGGGCTTCATCTCAACGCATATGAAACCGAAGTCTCATCTGCCGATGAGACTTCAAAATGGAGCGTTAAGAGCAGACATTACGCCAGAAATTTGATGAAGGGCTATGAAACTGTCTAAGGAGTGATAACAATACTAATGAGCGACGCCAATTTTCTTTGAAGACTAAGATAATTTACTCACGCCTGACCTGGAGGTTACGTAACCTTCACGCGAGACAAAAAAAAAACACATCTAGAAATCCACCTTCTTTCTTGATTTTTACCTGTGGCTTGGATTCTGAACGAACGTAGGATATTTCACATCGGCGTTTAATCAACGTCTTGCTCCAGAGACTTGGCACACAAAGATGATTCCCAATACGCTTTAAAACACAAGACAGGGTATTATGAGCGCACACACACACACTCACATATGCTTGGCATCACCAGCAAGAATGTAAAATATTCAAAGCCATGGCAACTACAATGCAAACCTAATGTGGAAGCAATGTGCTATGAAGGAAGGCCCATTGCCTGAAATGTCACCCATGATATGATTTTGTTCCTTTTAAGGCCACGGTGTTATTGACGAATGTGGTGGGATTTTGTTATTTGTGCCAACCCAGCACCGTCCCCAAAAATGTGTCTAATGCGGAGTGGAAGGATGTAAAAGACCTTTTGGGAGGAGTGAACAATTTTTTTTCTCCAGAAGATAATCCCAAATAAAATATTACCGAAACATTCTGAATTGAAGATTATTATCCTGTTCCCTGTGCATGACTTGGTAATCTCATAACGGTAGCTGATTGAGAGCCCATTAGGGCTTTTAGTCGAACAATTGATGGTCTGTGGAGCACAAGTTTAAGATCATAGATAATGGGAGCAGGCTCACCAATTCAGCAACCCCAAATCCGTGTTCCGTGTCCCCACCCAATCTATCCGAGGGCTCTTATCGTTAAATGTCATATACAACAAATATAATTGCATTTATTTTTGGAGAGCATCGCAGGCATAGCAGGAAACTATTACATAATTCGACATCGTAGCAAATCTGTATATTTTTTTGAAGATCAAGCGTATGAATGATTGTTTTGGGTAAATTAACATTATTGAGCATCTATTTCTTTTGTTCTTAGTCTTGACTTGTCTTACATTTTCTTTCATAGGAAATATGCACAGCATTATAGAAATGATATATTTGAAAGGGACGCTATAGAAATATGAAAATGACGAATGCAAATTAATAACATTTTGCGAAAATAGAACGGGCAGTGAACGGGTAATTTTATCGGAGACTATTTACCGCAGCGGAAGGATACTCCTCCTTTAGCAAAAGCGGCAGTGCTGCGGCGACGAATGGATGCGCCAGCCGGGGCAGTGGAAATTTCTAGAAAATCCCGGTGCCCACCAGACAGCCAGACGTGACTGTCTGCCAGTGCTGAGTGCGGCCGAAAACCAACTGCCCCCCTCCCCACCGCTGCCCCCCCCCCATCCTCCAGGCTGGCACACAAAGCGAGCACTTGTGGCAGCAGGGCACAGATATTTTCGTAAGACTTGGGCAGAGCGGTAATGAAACGTGGTCTTTCGCAAAGGGTCGCTTGCGCAATTTTTTCGGCGTTTAGATAAAACGTGAACAGGTGGTGGGTGGCGTGGGCTACTGCCGCTGCTACACACCTGCAGCATTAGGAGCCGATGGCACACATCGTGGAGGGCAAATGTCTCCACAGTGAGCACACTGCAAGCCCCTCGACCCAGCTAGGGCGAGCCATTGTTCATTTTCACTCTTGCCACTCTAAAAGTACCATTACGTAACTTTCCTACATTTGCATACCATCAAGCGCGTAACTCACACGCGGACTGCACACACAGATAACAATGATGACCCATCATTTAGCTTTAATGACTGCTACGCCAAGTGCTGCGCTTAGTAAAATATAAAGGAGTTTTCACTTAGAGCCGTTTGTCAATACACTCTGCCATTTCGACAAAGGGGGGGTGTGTGTTTGGACAACACTTCACCACACTGGACCAGTGTGGGTTTTTGCGAAGGGCACGGGCCGGGGACCGGTTCAGACATCGCTCGCTCACCGACGTTACGGACGTGGACAGAAGCTGAACTCTGGTTTTCTCGGTCCGTAGTGGAACCAGTAAGCCAGAGTGTATGAAGCACCGCACCACCATCTCCCACGTGTGTTGTTTGTGCGTCACGTGTTAAGAATGGCAAAGGCCTATGGGGCGGGGGTGATGTACAGCCACGACCGTTGCCTGTTTGACGTTAGCTCTCCTGCACCGACGCTGATGCATCACACCGGACATTCATTTAAAGGTTGATTTGACCAAGAGGGTGGCTCACGCCGGATTCAGATGAATGTTGCCAATTGGGCATCGCTGGTATTTTACGCAGTGCCCGAACCAATACAGAAACACTAACATGTGATATATATATGTACATACGTGTACATGCCATTATAAATGTTAGCCAAGCTAATTATTTCTTGAGGACCTACACTCGTACCACGTTTTCAAAAAGATGACTTTAAAAAAATGTGCTGATAACGAGAGGCTTTAAAAAAAAAGACACTTGGAGCTTGTCCCTGGAACGACTGCGTTTTTGGACAAGAGTTGCTATGTTGGCCATATTTAGGCCTTTCGTTGCATGTCAGGATACTACCAGAAATGTGTGCCAACTATTGCATTAGTTTTAGCGACTACTAAAAAACATACAAAAAGCACAGACTTCTTTAAGTGAAATATAGCTTTGGCGTGCTTATATTCATTATTAATTTTGTTAGCCATCCATCCCTGCAGCTATAAAAGAGGATCATTTGTTTTGGGGAATAAACAGTGGCAAACCATTCCCTACCCTGTTCAAAAATGTATTCGGACAGCCAAGAAATTCAGTTCTCCATTGAAATCTATTGCTATTAAGGTCAACCAAGCCCATCCAATTAAAGGAAATAACATCTATTTTTTAAAAGCAGTTGTATCGAAAACGTCTTCTTCACCATCATCATCATCATAAGCCACGATCATCTCACTGCTGGATGAAGGCCTCCACAACCTGTTGCCAACATTCATGACCCCCCGATGTAACATTGCTCCGTGAACCCGCACACACGAGCTGATTTCGTTGCTCCATCTCTTTGATGTATTTCCTATCGGACGCGGTCCATTCCCTTGGCTGCCACTCCTTCACTATTGTTGATCGTCCCCTCTAGCGACGCATCCTTCCCGAGCCTCACAGTTTGAATTTTGTCTTGAGCCTGCTACAGATCACTCATCTGTCTTCCTGTCTGTCTCTCAACGTGATTTCAATAATGCACGTTTCAGTTTTTGTTCCATTTTCTTTGTTCACATCCATGTTTCTGATCCGCACGTCATTGCTGGGGTTGTACGCTTTGATTAAAAATCTCCATTTATTGAGGCACATTTGCCCCTTCTAACATTTCCCGTAGTCCAATCTCATTGAATGCTATCACGACTATGGCTGCGCAAAACCCGAGGACGGTTAATGTCTTCCCTCGTCCCAATTTTACGAAAATATCCCCAAATGCCACGTCGAATAACTTTGGAAAAAGTGCATCACCTTGCCAGACTCCCCTTTCAATCTGTAATGTGGCACTTCCTTTATGTAACCTCAGTGTGGTTGTTCCGTTTTTCTCAATGGTTTTGATTACGTATAAACTTGTAAGTATGGGACCTTTTTGCTAGCACCAAAAAATACATAGAATAGGTTTTACCCTTTCAGAGCATGCTTTCTTTGCATGTTTTGCCTCGAGTATGTGTGGTTAATGCAGACTTGATGCCTTGCAAAAATGTATCTATTTCAACATGTTAACATCTGTTTTATTGCCAGAAAGGGTAAAACCTATTCTTATTTTTCATCCAACTCGTACTATTTCTAAACGTACTCCTAAAATCATATTACTTCCAAAAATGTGATCACTGCTGTCAATGTGGAAAATGTCGCGTTCAATTACAAATGCGTACGGGTGTGGTTTTGTTAAAGCCGACATTGGAAATATGTGAGGTAAAGCCAGCTTTGGTTTTCCCTTTAAATGAAAGTTATTTAATTATTATTTCCCCCTTACACGCATTTGCAAACAGCACCAGTTTATTTTAGAATGTTTTCTCGCGTCATTAACACATTCAAAAGTTCGCGTGCAGAATTGTCTCATTTAATCTGTCACTCAATGATTATAGAAGGACAAGGGAGGGGCCTAAATGTTTTTTTCATGAACGAGGTAGGAACAAAGGTCACACGATAAATGTTACACTTAATTGAAGCCCGTTCATCGCGTTAAGAAAACTTGCAAAGAAAAATAATACGGTGCAATCAGATTACGAGTCTCCGCAGTGCAAAAAGAAGAAAGCAACTCTCTAGCTTGCGCGTATAATGTGCAACCAACGCAAGTATCGCTTGAAATGTGCAACATCTCCACTTTAGCCGGTCCGGTGCTGGCGCCTGCCTGTGACCCAGCGCTGTCGAGGCAGCGAGGGTTGGTGTATCGCGCTAATGCTGTAGA